GCAGTCATACCGTTGGTGGAAAATAAAGCACGGGGAAAACGCGCTACGACTGACATCGCCATACAGAAAGTAAACCACTCCGTCGTCAACAAACAGCAAACCTCTGACGACTATGGTGTTTGCAAAGAATCGGTTTTGGAGGCTCAGAAAGCCTTTGTGTGCAACGTCTGTCTTAGATGGGTACACTGTAACTGTGATAATAGTTTACCGGGGCAGTACTACAGCTTTATGAGGAAGTACCCATGTAAATAGATGTGGTATATATGCCCAGAGGGTCTAAAATCACCGGCCATCACCACTGGCAAACTGGAAAACCTGGTTCAGTCAAATATGTTACAAAGAACGGGCTCCAACAACATTCCCTCAGGATGCGGTCTAGCTCCATATGCGCGCAAACACGCCACAGCTAAAGGCAGGAAAAAATTGGCTCCCACTCCAAGTGAGACACCAAAAAGGTCCTCGCTTGTATCACCGCCACCCAGACGATCCAACAGGACTGAACAACCTGAGGAAGTAGGTTGCGCTGAGAACGAATGGACGAAAGTGAATAGGGTGAGGGGTAGACCGAAAGCACTGGTTACCAAGCCCGATATCCCACGCTTACAGGACAAGAGAACAGATTCCATCATTCTGTTCAACGTCCCTACACCAACAGACCCACTCTTAGAAAAAAGAGAACAGTCTGACAAGGAGAATTGGGATGACTACTGCAGAAAGTTAGGAATAGAAACCATCGCAGCCAACTTATGCCGGCTCTCCCGTGTGAGTAGAGCACCTCGAGATAGGTCGCCACCACTCAGGGTATCAGCAATGACGGCGAAACAGTTGGAGAATATACTGCTGCTGTCACGCCGACTAGACATTGCAGGCCCCTGCCCCATAGGGTGAAGCTAGACAAACCCTGGGTCACCCGAGAGGCAGAGAGTAAGTCCCCACTTAGTGACCTGCACAAGGCTGCAAGCATGGTGGTGCACGGAATACCCGAACTGGCGGGTGGACCCGCAAAGTGTGATAATTACCTTCATGATTTCGGGCAGTGGAGGTGGTTAGCGGCAAAAATGGGACTTGGAAATCTGCCTGCTAGAGCGTAAGTAGGTTACCAAGACCTACGCACTTGCAGAGCATCTCCTCACCAAGATTGCTAGCTGTACGCTTTGACTGCAAAGCATCACTAACAGAGGCTCTCACGGCATGGTACGTGTAAAACACAATATAGGAGGCGCTATACGATACTGTGAGAGTAAACCACGAGCTACCAGACTAGAAGATAGGAGGCAACCTCCGAAAACACTACAGGCAGCACTAGTCAGAAAAGAATTAGCTAGTGAGCTACCTGTAGGCACAACAAACACTACTGCCACACCAGCAGCAGGATGCCAAGAGGAGCCAAAAAACGGAGACCCACTAGCCCAGTAGAGACTGGCAGGCAGCATCCGGTGCAATGGCACACTAGCCTCCAAACAAGTCCCCATATCGCACTAAGCCCAGAACGTAGCTCCTTAACATGCTTCTACAGCAATGTGAGAGGTCTTGGGAGTAAAATACTGGAGCTAAAAGTAATGTACCGTAATCTGCAAGCAGACATAATTCTCCTCACGGAGACATGGCTGTCAGAAGACATCGTGGGTAAAGAAATATTCTTGCCTAACATGACCCTGTTCCGAAAGGACAGGCAGTTCAAAGAAGGCGGAGGAGTTGCCATATATGCTAGCACTCATCTAGAAGTCAAGGAAGTGACTGATGGTGTGTTTGTCTTACTGCAAGACTCCTTATGGTGCTATCTCACCATAAACCAAACCAAGTACCTAATAGGAGTAGTATATAGGCCTCCCCTTTGTACGACAGAGCATGAGGCCCAATTGCCAGTGCCATCGCAACAACCACCTCGGCAGCCTATGACCATGTAGTCCTCGCTGGAGACTTCAACACATCGACACTCGACCCGGGGTGTAAAGTAAGATGTGGGCATAAATCTTTCGAACACAAACTTCGAAGTATGTTCATGGCAGCAGGACTAATAGAGAAGGTTGGGGAAAACACTAGGTGGGGACCAGACGGAAAAGGATCACCATTCGACTGCGTTCTAACAGACGATAATCTTTTGGTGGACGATATCTGTGTCCAACCCCCCTTAGGTAAAAGCGATCACTGACTGGTGAGATTCTCTCTGATAACCAAAGAGACACTACCAATAGCTGAGCCAGAAGCGTTCCGCTGTTACCGGAAAGCAGACTACCACCTCATGAACAACGAATTCCCGGAGGCTGCATGGTCACAAGAATGGGACTCATTATCGATAGACGGACACTGGATACAGATTAAAGATATTATCTGGAGTGCTACCGAAAAGAGTGTTCCAAAATTAACCAGATGGTCACCTCTCAAACGGTCTTGGGTAACTCGCGCAACCCAAAGACAAGCAGAGAGGAAAAAGAAGGCATGGTACCGGTGGCGTACACCACGCAAACAATCAGACCATCGTAGCTACAAGACCTTACGAAACTTGTGAAATATAAGAATTCGTAATGACAGTTATGCATACCAAAGCAACCTGGCTGAACAGTTAAGCTGCAATCCGAAAAGTCTGTATCGGTCTATGTCACAACGCAAATCGACGAATAAGGGCTTAAACCTGGTCACAGGGCCAGCCGGAGAACCCTTGAACAGCAGTGAGATAGCGGAACTGTTGAACAGTCGATTTGACGAGCAACTCAACCCAGTTATCCATCCGCTACCAACATCTAGCAATGTAACGAAGTCCCAGGACTGCGATACAAAGCTGATGAACGTGAAGATTTCGTCAAACCAAGTGTTTGCGAAACTTTCAACACTGAGAATAGGGAAATCCCCGGGCTGTGACGACATAAAACCGGTTGTCCTACGCAACTGTGTCGAAGTACTAAGCATACCCATATGCAACCTGTTCACGCACTCACTGGAAGTAAGTCAACTCTCCAACGAATGGAAACGCGCCATCTTCTCACCAATCTTCAGTGGAGGAGACCGATAGGACCCTTGTAACTACAGACCGATAGCACTACTCCCCATACTTTCCAAGGTACTGAAAAGCCTGGTTGCAGGTGTTGTCTGGGACTACCTTAACAGAAACAACATCGTTCATCCCACCCAGCATGGCATCAGAAACGGGTGGTCATGTGCCACAAACTTGATGACCCCTTGGGATGACTGTACTGCTAGATGGGACAACAAACAACCAGTTCACGTTATCTTCCTGGACTTGGCCAAAGCTTTTGATAGAGTCCCACACTACATTATGCTCGCCAAACTAGCGAAACTGGATATCACCGAACCACTCCTAGCATGGCTTACAGTATACCTAGAGGATAGAGAAATTCTGCGCTGAGGTAAACAGAGTTCGATCGACCTGGAGGAATGCAAGAACAGGAGTTTTTCCAGGAAAAATCCTTGGATCACTCCTACTTTTACTATTCATAAACAACCTCCCCACTAAGATCTCCTCATCCATCCTCCTATTCGCTGGCGACATCAAAATGTGGAGGACGACAGGCGACGAAGAGGATCCTAGGATACTCCAAAACGACCTGTTGCAGCTGGATTCCTGGTCGACTGCAAACGGCTCAAGCTTTAATCTGGAGAAGTGCAAGGTGATGTATCTTCCCACACCAGAGGCAATAAAAATCAACTACACTCGTAAAAAGCGTACAATCACTAAGGTATCCACGGAGAAGGACCAAGGGCTAAACTTTTCAGACGCAATGGATACTACTGGCATTTATAAAAGAATGGCAGCAAAGGCGAACGCCATTATCCACTTTCTAAGAAGGCGAATTGAATTGTTACCCCCAGAGTTATTCCTCATGGTATTCCAAACCCACGTTAGACAACACCTAGAGGTGTTCAACACAGTGGTCCCTCCTCTACTAGCGAGCGACACAAATTCCTTCCAGAAGGTACAAAGAGGGACAAAGTTGGTTGTCGGACTATCAGGCAAAGCATTGCGCAACGCCTCAAGCAACTCAACTTCTTCACACTAAGTTATCGAAGAAAATGAGGTGATCGAATAACAGCCTGCAAGATCATTCGCCAAGTGGACCACCGAAACACGACAACGTTATCGGTCCGAAACCGACAATCCCGTGGGAACCCCACCCGCATACCCCACCATAGGGCAAAGGCTGGAGTAACATCTAACCTTTCCTCGCATAGAGTATATGCCTTATGGAACGCGCTGCCGAAAGAAGTGACCGGCCACAGCCACATCAGTCAACTGCTTCAAACGACTACTGGATGAGTATGTGATCGCAAATGGCTTACCACGAACATCTGTTAGTAGCAACCGATGATACGCCCTTCCATCCCTGTATTCTCCTTGTATTCCCAAACCCTAGTATCTGCAGTAAGACGCATCTCTCCTCTATATTGTTACCAGTCACATTTATCTTTTCACTTCTCTTTTTCTCATGCCCCACTCACTCCGTTTCTATCACTATTTAAGTAATGCTTAACACTTACTTGCAGGTGCCTACAACAACAGGAATTCCAAACGATTAATTGATCTTATCAGCAGCTCCGCTACCCTCCTCCCCCTCCCCCCCAAAAGAAGAAAAGAAAAACAAAACAAAGCTGCAATTTGCAAACAAAACACCTTCAAATAGACAAACACTACCTCCAAAACTGTAAGCAGGAAAACGCAAAGACTTCTGCGACCATCGAAGGAGTACGACAGAACAAAAAGAACCAAGACTCAAGACCTAGAAGTGAGAGCTCAACAACTGCAAGTTTCCTCTACTCACACTATTGATTTTGGATGTTAGAACCGTGAAGTTCACAGGCTCACGTGATATTCGTGGTGAAAATCGGAAAAGCCTATGGATTGAGGTTCAAAAGGTTTTAGGGACTGTATCAAGACGTATCTCATAAGATTAACACAGGCAAGAAGTAGCTACATTTCATTTCGATTCATTCAAAGTACTTCATTTATGGTAAGTCAAGTTCATTAAAGCTGACATATTTCAAAGTATTCCTTGACCGCATCCCGACTGTGGAATACCGTCAGACTGGCTCTTATGATTTCAGAAAATATTACGAAAACCTTTGTGCCCTTCAAAATTGCTTTCCACTAACTTCTATCACAAGCCAAGTTGAGGAAGGTGTGCTCGATATTACTGCAGACAGACTAAAGTAAGTAGGAAATATCGTTTTTTCACTCTCACAAGTATTTCGGAGTGGGAGCCAATCCTGAATTCTGTGAAAATCAATCGAAATTTACGTTTCATTGCCATTAGAAGCTTCTGCCAACATATGAGTATGCCAGGTGAGTTTACTTTATTTCATTTATTATAAGATTCATGTTGGTTGATATTCTTGTTCAAAGCTTTAAGCAGGAATGCGTTCCAGGAGCACTATCATAATCCAGCCACAATTGTACAATGAGATGAACTACATGATTTTTGGCCTTATATATATATATATATATATATATATATATATATATATATATATATATATATATATATAGATTTATAGATATATAGAGATATATAATATTTAAAGACTGGAGTCCCCGAGAAACATTTAATTTCAATAATGAGATGTCAAAATAACAATAATGGTAGCTATAATAATGTTGCCTGTCGATGACATAAACGTTGAACAATGCATCAACGTCTGCTTCATGAAAATGGTCGTTTAAATTTGAAAACAAATGACCCAGTACATCTTTGCTTAGATTCTGAAAACTCCTGTTACCCAGTCACTTTCATTTCACACAATACTCGTAGTTTACAAGATAGTTTCAAAGACAACTACTCTTGCTACATGCTTCATTTCTCAAACAGGCAATATCGAGGCATCCATGCACCAGCCCATATGCTAGTAGACACGGATCAATTCGGTCAACTCAGCGACACGATAATACATGCAACAACACTATTCACACTTATACTCTGACATTTCACAGACCTATGAATGTCATTTGAAGGGAGGAAAAAATTCCATTAATCTCTGCATTACTCAAAAGTGTTTTTCAAAGTTATTGTTTATTTAAATGAGTTTATAGGTATATTTGATGGTAAAAACGTTTGTCATCTGCCAGAAGACATTCATTGTGCTCACAAGTACGACCCAAATATATCAGTAGTAACGTCTCTCAATGAAACACTAAGTGGGTGACTCGGATTCCAATCTAAGGCGGGATATCAATTGCATCGAGGTTCCAGATACGCCCTCCTGACAAGTGCCAAGAAGCACGAAACCTAGATAAGGTAGGGCTTCCTGCCGATTGCCTCCAACCAACTAACATGTAATAAAACAGTATTATTTACTATTTACTGGATGATATTTCGAACAGAAATTGACTCTTCACATTCATATTAAAGGTTTGAATATGAAGAGTCGATTTCTGTTCGAAACATCATCCAGTAAAAATACTGTTCCGGTTCACTGTGCAAAATATCTAACAAACAGACTCTCGAAGAATTCCATACACTATCATAGTGCTCAAGTCCTACGCCTACATTAAGGTCATCAACTTACCTACTTACCTACTGTATCATGATATGCAATTTTTCAGTAAGAAGTTACAAACAACGAGAAAAAATGTATCTAACCTGTAGTGTTTGAAACTGCCTTTTATAGTGATGAAGGGAACCCACTACAATTTATGGCTCTAAGCATATATTATATATAGTGTTTTAATTTAGTCGAACTACTAATCATGTGTTGTGTGGGGTGTGGAACAGTTATCATAGGTTTTAAGTATGTCGAGCCATGAAGATGTTAATTTATATATAGCGGTGGGGATAAAAAAATTCGTCATATGAAGATGTGTTTTTCAGCCGCATGGAGTCATTTTTGAACAGTGTTCACACACAAGCTGAAGTAAATGATTGAATATTTTCAAATAGGGATCAAAAATAAGACATATTGATCGAGGGAATGAATTCATTTTTTGCAATTAGGTATTCGTCTTGAGCTATACATTAGTACATAATTTTACGATTTGATCAAATTAGCATGCGCTTGGTGGTGTTTGGTGAACATTAATCAAGTTATGAAGATAAAGATTAGCAAGAAAAGGGGAGTTTTTAAAATTGGTTATATGAAGACTTTTATTCTTAGGTAAATTTAATGATTTTTGATAGGCGTTCAGTCCTAAATTATAAGTGATTACGTTATCATGAGGAAGAAAAATGACTACTGACAGAAACAGGAAGGGGAATAGGTTTACGAATTAATACTAGAATTTACATCATATCAACTGCCACGTTAATGAAAGTGGTCTGACAATCTTCTTTCGAGTGTAAAGGTTAACTTTGTAAAGGCGAATTGCAACCGCCTCTGCTAGGCCAAGTAAACAAGTGCGTAATCCATATGATAAATTAATTGAGATATGATGAATAATTTTGAAAGCTTTTCTAGCATCCACTTGGTGTCCCATGTCAACTAGGTACGCAAGTATGGAGCTCTTTGTTGTTCTAGTTTGTCCCTTGCTCAACCATGATATGTGGTGCTCAAAAGTTCGGCGATGGAACTGCCTCATTCTACGCCGAATGTAACTAGCTCCACATTAGCAGTTGAACTGATAAATGGACATGGAAGTGGTAGAATTAAGCACTTTGTCTCTATTTCTTGCACCTAGAATCCCGCGACTCTAGAAGATGGCACATAATTTGGAGGCTGGGAATGCTGTATACAAGACTCTTTTTATGGGTTGTGTGATGATCTCACCGGCAATGTCACTCTTAAATTTCAGCTTCAAGAAGATTTGCTTCTTAGGAACTGTTGGCGTTTTTTATTAACCATCGTAACATTCATATGCTTAGTCAAAAGCTTCGCCTGATAGCCATTCCTACTAAGCAGATCATGGATGGTGGTGAATTCTTCCGTTATAGCATCATCTGGGCGAATAGCTATGGCGCGGTATGCTAGGTTCCTTTTGTATTGGAGGGGCAAATCACTAGAGAAGTGTATTGACCTGTAGACGTTGGTTTCTATATACACTTTGTTTCAGAGTTCCACCTAACCTTCTTACCAACAAAACATCAAGAAATGGGATACTGTCATTTTCCCCCTCTTCCATTGTGAAGTTGATTGCTGGATGAACTCATTGAGAACAGTATTCTTGTCAATCTCACTCTTGAGAACTACAAAAGTATCATCCACGTAATAACAATATAATTCTAAACAGCTAATAGTTTCGTTCAGTGAACCATTCGCTAGTTATGCCAGAAAACATATGCTAAGAGCGGGCCAACGGGCGACCCCATAGCTACACTATCAGACTGTCTGTAGAGTTCATTGCTGAAAAGGAATTGTGCGTTCAACGTACACTTCAGAAGTGGTTCTTTCAATATGGAGACTGGAACACCTATTTCCATACCGTGCTTATTAAGTTCGTTGCAAATAAAATCTACTGCCTCCATTAAAGGAACATTAGTCAAAAGAGGTGAAACATCATACGTTATCACTAACTTATTATCTACTTTCAGATCCTCAGTCTCTTCAACAAATTCAAAGGTATCTTTGAGAATTTACTTTACAACTTCTTTGTGGAGAGGCTTCAAGAGTTGGGCTAACCATTTTGCGGTTTGTTTGATACGGAGTGTTTATCATATCGAGAACTGGTCGGAGAGGCAGACCGTTTTTATGCAGTTTTGGTAGACCATAAAGTCTAGGTGTAAAGGTTCCAGTGGGTTTGAGCATTTCAAAGGTGCTTTCTGAAATGAAACACTGTTGTTTTATCTTTTTTCAGTGATACGGTTAGATGTTTCTCAGTTTTCTCTGTCACATCATCACAAGCGACTAATTCCTGAAATTTACTCTCATCACTAAGTAAAGCATTCATTTTCTTTATGTAGTCCTTTTTATCCATCAAAACTATTCCTGTTCTTTTATCTGGCTTAATAGTCATGGTATCTGCATACGTTTTAAGCTTTTGCAAAGCTTCTCTGTTTTCTTCGTTAAAATACTCTTTTTACGGTTTCTACTACTCATGTGCTTAAGGCAGGAGTCAACGAGTGTAGTCTTAAGTCTATCAACGTCTTCACTAGATGATGGTACCAAACCTTCAATCTGTGTACACAAGTTTGCAAACTGCACTTCTGTTTCCATCTTACTGATCGTATCACGACTGTCACAAAAGTTTGATCCAAGTGAAAAAAACTTCTAATTGTGTATAACATCAGCATCGATACTAGAAAAATTGTGCACAAACTGACCTGGGTTAGTCGGGAATCTCATCTCTGGTGTTCGATTTTCAAGACTTCTAATCAACTTAATGCGCTTCTTTTCCTTCCATGCATTGACAACATTCTCTACATAACTCAAAAATTCCTGTTTTAAATTTTCCGGAAGCCCTTCTACAGCGTGGAATCTCTCTGTAACATTTTTCCACATTTCACCAGAATAAGATAATAGTGAGTCAACCTCATTCAGAGCATAATGTTTCAGGGCTCTTTCAGTAGGCTGAAACACGAAGCGTCGGAAAAATCTTCAATATTATTTAGGGTAACACATCGTTGAAATCCATTTGTCGATAAAATCTACAGTAACACCTTGGCATAAGAGAGCCTTGCGTTGTACTTCAGTTACTCATTGAGAAACTTTGACGCAATTCGATGCTGAAAAGGCTTCAGCACACTGAATATTTCCATAAAGATATTTAGAAAAAGACTGACCGAGCGAACAATTGAACAAATATATTCCTTTTCAATCACATCTTCGTCACGGGCTCTACGCTAATATTTACTTTCACAGTTTAATCAAATTACTAATCAAGTGGTGAATAATAATCATAGACATTGTGTACGTCAAACAAGTCATGAAGATGATGATTTAGAAATGAAGGTGGAGTTGTTATAAAATTGGTTGGTTATATGAGGAAGTTAAATCTTAGGTAAATGGAGCGATTTTTCATGTTTGTTCAGTCAGTTTATTACTGAACACTCACTCATTCACCTAACAATAAATCTCTTCATATAACCAATTTTAATAACTCCATTCATTATTACTTATTCACATCGTTATTTCTAGATCATCATCATCATCATCATCATCATGTTCATGATTTATTTACGAGTGAATTGAAGTGAATCGAGAAGATCGAGTCGTGAATGTGTATACCTTGAGATGCACAATGTTTATTGCACTGCAAGCGCTCAATAAAATCCAGGTGAGCATAAGCAATTGTGATACATTAGCATAGCGAGGCCACAATACACTGAGGGCGACCAACTCAGTTTATGTGAGTGATCAAGTACTCGTGCAACTGGCACACTGAACAGTGAGTGAATATCATATCAGAGTACTCGAGTG